GCAATGCTCTGACTGGAGATTGTGACACATTTGCCATGTGGTCTGCAGCTCTGCATCCGGCAGAGCTGCAGACCGGAGAGCCCACTGGACCACAAGGGACAGAGGGAGCCCACTGGACCACCAGGTAAATTTCAACCCCCTGTCACCCACCTCTCACCATGTTACCCCACTCTCACCCTGTCACCCTGTCACACTTTGTCACTCCCCTGTCACCCACCTCTCACCCTGTCACCCCCTCTCACCATGTTACCCCACTCTCACCCTGTCACCCCTCTCACACTATGTCACCCACCCTCTCTGTGAGACATTTGCCATGTGGTCTGCAGCTCTGCATCTGGCAGAGCTGCAGACCGGAGAGCCCACCGGACCACCAGGGACAGAGGGAGTCCACTGGACCACCAGGTAAATTTTAACCCCCTCCCCCTCTAACTCTGTCACCCCCTCTCACCCTGTTACCCCCTCTCACACTATGTCACTGCTCTCTCACCCTGTCACCCCACTCTCACCCTGTCACCCCACTCTCACGCTATTTCACCTCCCCTGTCGCCCTCTCTCAACCTATCACCCCCTCTCATACTATGTCACCCCTCTGTCACCCCCCCAATCACCCTCGTCACACACATGAGCACCACTCTCCGCTCACACGGGCACCACTCTCTGCACACACGGGCACCCCCCACTATACACACTGTCACCCCTCCACACTCTGGCAGTCTTCTCCATACACTCTAGCACCCCCTCCATACACTCTGAAAACCCCCTCCATACACCCTGTCACTCTCCTCTGCACTCTGGAACCCCCCTCCATACACATTGTTACCCCCTACACATTATGGCACCCCCCTCCTAACACTCTGTTACCCCTAACACATACTGACACCCCCCCAGACACTGCTACCATCCCCACACACACTGTTACCCTCACATACTTATATTAACTCCTGATTCAGTCACACTCACCCCAACCAATCATGCAGCACTTACCCTGTAACAGGAATTCCCCTAATCCTGTCACACTCACCTTTTCTTGCACTGTCACATTCACCTCCCAGCCCTATCACACTCTACTCATTGACATTCACCCTGTCACAATCACCCTGTCAAAAAAAACCTCCAATCCTGTCACGCCTACTTCCCCTCATCCTGACACACTACCCCACACTCATCCCCAGCTCTCTCACCCCCCAACCTTTCCACACTCACTCTGTCACATTAACACATCTAAACCTATCATAGTCCCCCAACCCTTCCACACTCAACCTGTCACAATAACGCCTCTAATCCTGTCACAATTAACCCCCTTAATCATGTCACATTCATCCCCCCTTGCCCTGTAACACTCTCTTCTCAAACCATGCCACATTCACCCCAACCCTGTGATACTCACGCCCCAAGCATGCTACATTCACCATATCACATTAATCCCTTAATTATGTAATGCATATCTCCTCTCAACCTGTAACACTCTCTCTTTAAACCATGTCACACTCACTCTCCCTCATTGTGTCACACTCATGTCTTAATTTCTGTTTCCAATAACCCCTTCACACCAGCAATTATGTATACACAACTGCCAGGCTATGCAACCATACCTCGCAATCATGTATAAACAATTGGCATAATTGCAAATTTACATTTGTTACAATGTATAAAAATAACAACAGTCCGAGAGCTCACAACACAGCGGCACAGTGAGCCGCAACAATGCAAGCCTCTGAACGATGAATACAGAGACTAGGTCTCTACATCCAACGGTGCAAACCCGCACTTCAATATATCTACATCTTCTTATACACACACAAGTCAACAGGTATTTTATTTTCACTAATGGTGTTAGTGGGGACCTCATGTTTGAGTTTTGCCTAAGGCTTCGCCAAGTCCAGAGCCGCCACTGGGTTTTAATGTTGAGGCTGATCAGTGTAGAAAAACACGGAGATGCACACATAATGTGCACTTACATGTATCTTAACCCATTAAGGACACGTGACATGTGTGACATGTCATGATTCCTTTTTATTCCAGAAGTTTGGTCCTTAAGGGGTTAAACTACTTTATAGATTAAAAAAAAGTAAAAATATATTTACATTAAGCAAAAGCATATGCACCCAGCATTTATTTTTGTATATGCAGTATAACAGAAACATATGCATGAATTTTTAGTTGTAACAGATTTCCCATGGGATTGCACAGTGCATTCGGTGCACATTAAGTAGTGTTGGTGTTTAAATGTACAATTTCCCCCCCCCAAAATAAGACATTTCCCAAAACTAAGCACTAGGTTCTTTTCGGGGAATGCTTGTAATATAAACCCTACCCTGAAAAAAGGCCCTAGTTGCTAGTCGCAAGTTTGCTAATCTATGTTCGGGGAATTTTCCAAATAGATTTACAGGATTCCATGTGCTAGTCAACTGGTGTCTGTTCAGGGGAATTCCCCGTAGACCTGCTTACTAGCACTTCCTTGCTACCGTTTCCCCCCGAAATAAATCATCCCCTGAAAATAAGCCTTAGTGCGTTTTTTAGGGGAAAAATTTATATAAGACCTGGTCTCATTTTCAGGGAAACATGGTACTATTTCATGTTAACATTTCAGTTAGAAGATTTTATCATACATTCCACAACTTCTTAAGTACATTAATATATTCTTATGTCAGTGAAGTAATATATTCTTACGTCACATTTAAACCTTCTTTGTAGTGTGTTCTATAGCCCTAATATTTACTCTTTGAAATATATTCCACCCTCTTTGGTTTTTTTTCTCTCTTTAATCCATCTATTTTTTTTTTCATGAATGAAAGCAGGAGCTTCTAAACAGTTCCTCAAACTGTTTATGCATATTAAACCAAATTTTTGCCATAATATATATAATTGTTTAACTTAGAACTTTATTACGGAATATTTGAAATTGTTCGCCTTCCTTTGTTCCACCATCTTCCTCAAGTGAATGCTGATGGTAAGTTGCAAAATGAGGTAGACTGAAACGGTTTGAGGTTCAGCCTTTAACCACAATTTTAAAAAATAAAAATTCCAGCCTTCCAAAAGCCATAATCCCTACGCTGTCATTTTCCTTAGATTGTCTTATGATACATTTTGATTGTGGTGGAATGTCAGAGAAGATTCTATGTCTCTAAAAAAAAAAAAAAACTCAAAAGGAACAAGGTAACTTTAAAATTATTCTGAGAAGTACAGCTCACTTTTCTTCATCACTATACCACAAGGCACACTGCATTTCCTGACAAAAGAGATTACCTTTTGGTGTTGTTTCATTTGCGTGCACGATTAATTTTAATTTTCACTGTCATTGAAGTGTGGTAGAGCATATCCTAGGTCCCAGTCTAACTGGTGGATCATTTAAAAGGGGAACTGTCACTTGTCAGGAATTTGTACCATTGAATGACACATTGAAAATCACCTAAAACTTGTGTTAACCTTTTTTTTAATGAGATTAACTATTTTATTTTAATTTATTGTAATGATTTGCATCATAATCCTCTGACTGCCAAACGCAAAGGTCATAATTTACAACAATGGTTGACAGGGATCTAAGATGGAGGTGCCCTTTTGCAAGATAATAAAGTGTGGATTTCTACATTTGCTATGACAGGTTCACTTTAACTGAAATTGCCCCTAAAAGCACAGAAAGTTTAAATTAGACTTTCAACATAAAAATGTTTGCTACTAACACTACTTATGTTCAGCCAAGCGCAGCTCTGTACCACCTGTGCCCTGGCCTGTCCATGGTTTGATTTGATTTACCCTGTTGTGAACACTTCTCATAGCTGAACAATCTTCCTCCATCACTCTGATCCGCTGGGTTAAATTTCCCAATAGTATGGTATTAGTATTATTATAATAATATTAAAGCTGCCTTGTTCCTTTTGAGTTAAATTTTTTTAGAGAGATATAATCTTCTATGAAATTCCACCAATTCCTATAGGTAGCCCTATAGGAGACGCCTGTTTACAGCAATAATAATGTGACTTTTGGAGACATTTGGCTTAACCTCCCTGGCGGTCTGATTATGTCAGTATTGTTTAATGTTAAAGTGGTACATTGTTTTTACAATGTATTGTGTGTCTTTTTTTTACATCAGGGGCTCGTAGGGACAAGGTAAGTGATACTACAGTGTAATCCTGAGCGTGGCTCGGGGTTACTGCTTTTGGTACAGAAAATTAACCCCGAGCAACCACCAGGGAGGTTAAGTAGGCTGATGGGGAGAGGTGAGAACCAGTGTTCTCTATAGTCCATTCAGTCTTAATAGCAGAACTCCAGAAACAGTTCTAGAGGGTGTAATACTCAGTGCTGTCCCTGCTCCTCCAGTGTCTGTGTGTGAGGCTGGACAGGAAATGGAAGGGATCACTTCCCATCTGCCCACTAGCAGCTTCTCACACAGGAAATGCCTTCCAAGTGGAGTATGTGAAACAGTGAGTGTTGCACACTATATAATAGCTATTATAGGAAACTGACAGGGCTACAGACTATATAGCATGGTAAATCCTATACTTTACATGCCCTAAACATCCCTTTTTCCTCACCAAAAACCTCACCCCTTAAAAAACCCAAACAAGCCATTTCTTTAGACCAATGTTTAGGCACTCAAATCTTAAACCCGAAAATCATATGCCTTAAATTGACCAGTGAGGTTGCATAGAGCATGATCTATACACCAAAGCCAAATCTTTAATGTTAAAGTTGTTTTGGTATTCAGAGTGTCTCTTTAATCCTCAGTTTAACTCCTTTTAAACACTAACCACATTCCTGTTTCATGTACCCTAAAACTAAATGTACTGCACTCTAACCCTAAACTCAGTTATCCTCATCAGCCCTTATACAATTACTATAGCCCCTCTCAAACTTTTAATCCTCTTAACACTAAACACCCTATGTAATCTAACGCGGATGTTAACTCTCTCTCTAACCTTAAATCCCTCTTCACCCTAACCACTTCTAACAATATCTGTAACCCTGCACGCATTTACACAGCTGCATAAACTCACTATACTCACAGATTCAAAAAGTACATTACAAGCAGAAATATGCACATACATATACAGTTGCCTAATATGAATACATGACTCCTATAACTGCAAAGTCAAGTTAATGATATCATTAAACTCTCTCTATCTGCCTTTTTGTGGGGGGGGGGGGCCTTAGAATTCTGACATGAAAAACTTGTTTGTTTTTTTCATTCTTTATTTTAGGTGTGCATAAAATAACAAAACAATCTTTTACAGCCACAACAGCTCAAACAAGCATAATAATAATAACAACAAATATTATAAGACAGTGACATGGCTTTCAGAGTAACTGCACATTTTTTTTCAAGGTGAGGAACAGGCTCATTATTTATAGCTAACTATGAAGGAAGAGAAGGTCAATATAGCATGCTATACACAATATAGCATGTTATAGTGAAGGGAATGTGTAATGTTAGATGAGAATTATGATTCCACTAATGCTAATGAACTGTACTAGGCTAATAGATGCCCTGCCACACCATGAGACAAGTGAGGGATGAGACATTGCTGTTTGTACCCTATGTGGGCAGTTCACCGTCCCAAACTCAGCCAACCCCCTCCTGGGGCAGATTAGAACCCTGTATTTTAATGAGGTAGATTCTATCGCAGATGCAAGCTTGTTGGCTGAAGTGCCCAGGAATCAGGAGGAGCAGCATTCGTATAGGATGGTGGTACAGGTCAGGTGAGCAGCCTAGTGCCTCTCTGGGATATTTTAGGTGTGATCTCCGCATGGCAAGGTCCTGCATTGTGAGGGAGCCGGCTTCCACCTTCTTGTGGTGATGCCTTCATCACCGTCAGGCCCAAACTGGAGTTGGAGCTGCCGCTTGCAGCCTGCTCTGGCTCTTCCTTGACACTCTTTGAGGTGAGTATGCACATAGAGCAGGGTCCTGCAGATGTGTGTTTAACTTCTGCCAGAACGCAGCAAAAATGTCCAGTTTAGTGACAAAGTCAGCTTTCTCCGCACCAGAAACTGTGGGACACGTGGCCTGTGCCATTTTAGAGCAGGCCCGCGGGTATGGTGAAGTGGCAGGGAATGTGAGGGGTAGACCGGGATGACCCCCACTGGTCCAGAGGAGGGCAGAGGGAAATGGGCACAGGGGCTCAGGTCGCTCCAGATCGGGAGATCAGCCACCTCTCCCCCCTATGTGTTTGCTAGGCTGCACTGTGTGGAGTCAAAAATGCTGTTATACAGTAAACCAAGCGGTAATCAGCCGTTCCTCTGTGTGTCGCCTCATTCAGGGAGCATGTGAGGTGTCATTAGCTTAAACTAGAGAGCAGTAGTGAATGAATATTTAGGTCATTGTACCAGACAAGTGTGGAGTTCTCCTAAGACGCGTCTGGCCGTTATTAAGGACAGGGCCCGCCCCCCCGAAAAACCCAGTTTTGATATACTGACATACTGGCTCCATTGCCCAATTGCCAGTGTATGAACATACCCTTTTCCTTCCAGGTTAGGAATGGACCTAATTTAAAAAAAAGGTTTCTATCCCAATCTGTAGCTGAATTTATAGATTGAATTTAATGTACTAGCTTAATTTGCTAGATCAATTTATAGATGGAATTTAATTTACTTTTATTTACCAGGGCAGAAATAAAAAAAAATAAAAAATAAAACTTTAGACCCCTGAAGAACTTTTGCTTGCTGAATACCTTTATGTGTGAAGAGTGTGTCCTCTTTTTTTAATTTAACAAAAAGTGCAGTTTTACAAATGAGCCCCATGATCCACCACATTGATAGTCAATCAGACAGTCAGTCCTGTTACTTCCTGGTTGTTTAGCTTAGTGGAGCTAAACTCAAGAGGCAGCAATTACCAAGAGCCCTGCCTTACAAAGACTCCTGATTGAGCTACATTGGAAAGTCTGTGATTGGACAGCCACAGAAAGTCTGGGCAGGGTTTGAAGGGAAGGGCTTGCAAAGGCTTCAGAAAGAGATTTGCTGTCTTTTTAGATATACCAATGGAAAAAAATGCATAATTAATATTAGATATAAGTATATCTACTAAAAAGTGATTTTGTATTTTTTTTATGGGCAGTGGAGTGTCATAGTAATTATAAAAAAATAATGGATTTTTATTATTAATTAAAAATGGAAAACACGATTGTAATACAATGTCTTTTCCAGGATTGAGGGTTACCCACAGTTAGGGCTAAAAAAATTTAAGGGTTTAATTAGTGCAACTGTTATAGTGCTGTACATTTTTAAAGTGGACCTCAACCTAATAATTAAGTAGCAAATGTAATGTGAAAATCGCCATCACTGCTCATATTGTGAATACAAATTTTACAGTGCAACATTTATTAATGAATGAAAAGACTAGTATGGGTTTGTGCTAGATATATTTTCTAGTATACAAAGATAGTCTGCAGTCTCTCCATACAGTGCTGCACAGAGCGATAGCAATATATTTAGGTACTCAGAATGAACACACATTGTGGTATGTTTACAGCATGGAGCACAGTGAACAGCCATACTTTGCTTTCTTGGCCTACTCCCATATTTGCTCATTGAGCCCTTTCTTTTTATAGTAATAACATTAACTGGCAAATCACATGTCATTTGAGGATGTATAAAAAGAGGTTTTAATATATAAACCCTAAGCATACAATATAATCAGTAAGTCAATCTTCCTGTGCTTGTATCTGTTCTACTGACACAATATAAAAGGGCTAGTAGGAACAATGACACAGTATGAGGCTGCTATTATACTAGGCTACAAACTGTGTACAATAGTTACCAGACTACTGGATACACACAAAATATACATCTATTGGCATAAATTAGTGTATGTCCTCATACCCACTAAGCTCTTTTCACCAATCTAGCATGTCCAGCATTATAGCTCTACCTGTCCTCTCCATTCTTTCATCTTCACAAACCTTTATTTCACACTCCTCCTTTTTCTCGGTTCCATTCAATCTCTTTCTTGCCCCCACTCCCTCCCCCCCTTCATTACACCAATCAGAATCCACCATCAGTACTTTTCACAAACACCTTAACCCTATTGACAAACTCTGTGAGCTTAACCACACAAATATCTCTAAATTGAGCACATTATTACTTTTTCCACTATATTTGTGTCATTGGTGTACCCATGATCCAAAATGTACTACCACCAGATGCAAATATGAATCTGGTCTGATTCCTTGTAATTCTATTGTTTATTGCCTAATGTGTTCATGGCCAATCACTAAGGTATAGAAAGCTCTGTGAATAATAAATGCATAAATAAATTAAATGTAAATCAATTAATACATTTCATTGTTAATGCAGAGATACTCAGCATAATTTTATAATGCAACTTGTTCAATATTAGCATCTAGAGATGGTTAGTATGATCACCCAGTGCTATACATTTATTATCATTGTGATACTTTTCATTGAAGTTTAACATTTTATGGGGTTTACATCGTGTGCAGTATCTGGGCCAGGAAATATAATATAGAAGTCAATACTGAAGTCCCATTATCAGAAAATGTTTTAAACATATATTCAGGATTAAGATACATTGTTGTACAGCATGTCACAGGGGTCTGAGGATCAGTAGTGATGTAATGAGGAGGATGGGGGGCAGTGCTTGGCTAGCAGCAGAGTTCTTTAGGCCTGCGTGATTTCCCTGGGGTGGGCCGTTGCAATCATCTGAAAAACAGCATTCCACGGTGGCCCCATTCCCGTTCTGCCGAACATGGTCACAAAAGGACTTGTAGGAGCACGACTTGATGATGCTGTCTGTAAAAAGAGACAAAGACCATGTAAGACACATTCCACATACATTCATTGTAAATATACATGTAAATACTCCCGTGTGAAAAAGCTAAAACAAGGTATCTATCAGCCACACTATAAGACAGATCATTTGTAATGAGCAAACACAAACAGTCTACTCATGAACGGACTCTTCTGGCCAAGATACCACAATAAAACAATCCTTGCCAATTAACTTTGGAAACTGATTCACAAATTGATAAATTGTGCCATTGGCATTTGGACCAGGAACCTGATTACCTGAGTATAAAATGTCATGTGTAAAAAGGTTACTTTTGAGGTTAGAAAAGATACTTTGTCAATATCAAAGTACACTTTACACAGGAAATGCCTAGCATATTTAGTAAATGGTAAATCATCTAAATCAACGAAGATTCAAACACCTCCATTTCTGTCACAGTTTAAACAAGAACTTAAAGGGACACTATAGTCACCAAAACAACTTTAGCTTAATAAACCAGTTTTGGTGTATAGGTCATGCACCTGCAGTCTCCCTGCTCAATTCTCTGCCATTTAGGAGTTAAAGCACTTTGTTTATGAACTCTAGTCACACCTCCCTGCATGTGACTTGCACAGTCTTCCTTAACACTTCCTGTAAAGAGTCATCTAATGTTTATCCTACCTTTATTGCAAGTTCTGTTTAATTAAGATTTTCTTATCCCCTGCTATGTTAATAGCTTGCTAGACCTTGCAAGAGCCTCCTGTATGTGATTGAAGTTTAATTTACAGAGCAAGAGATACAATTGTTTAAGGTAAATTACATCTTACAGTGTCCCTTTAACTATGCCACCTAAATGCTTGCTGTTCTAAAATTGTTGTTGCAGGCATTTAGGTGGCATAGTTAAAGGGACACTACAGGCACTTTAACTTAATTAAGTATATTTTGGTACATAGATCATGCCCCTGCAGTTTCTTTGTTCAATTCTCTGCCATTTAGGAGGTAAATATATACATGTCTATATATACATGAGTAAGATGACAAATGAGGTGACACATCACAAAAGAAAGCTTGTAATGCCAGACAAAACACAGGCCAAAACCACAACACCTTAACACTAATTTTGTCTGTGTACTTATTTTGTAACACAAAATGTTGCTCAGCAGCTCCAGATGTTTACAAAGTATTTCTTTACCCCTTTGGGTCATTCTGTTAGTCATTAAGATTTTGTCATAGTTGTGTAAGAAATTGCAAATTTAAAATGTAGACAATTGAGGAATGATGTGGATACGTTTGGATGTAGTCATCAGATATCTCTTACCATAACGCCTTAAAGGACCACTATAGGCACCCAGACCACTTCAGCTTAATGAAGTGGTCTGAGTGCCAGGTTCAGCTAGGGTTAACCCTTTTTTCTATAAACATTGCAGTTTCAGAGAAACTGCTATGTGTACATTAGGGTTAATCCAGCCTCTAGCGGCTGTCTCATTGACAGCCGCTAGAGGCGCTTCCGCGCTTCTCACTGTGATTTTCACAGTAAGAGGACGCCAGCGTCCATAGGAAAGCATTGTGAATGCTTTCCTATGAGACTGGCTGAATGCGCACACGGCTCTTGCCGTGCATGCGCATTCAACCGAGGAGGAGGAGATGAGGCGGAGAAGAGCTCCCCCCCGGCGCTGGAGAAAGAGGTAAGTTTAACCCCTTCCTCACCCCAGAGCCCAGCGGTGGAGGCATCCTCAAGGCACTATAGTGCTAGGAAAATTAGTATGTTTTCCTGGCACTATAGTGGTCCTTTAATGCAGTCAAAAGTTAGATTTAGCTAGGACTGGATGGTAATACAAGTACTAACCAAATATAACACTAACCAAATATAAATGTATTTATCAATTAATATATTGTGCATCATTATATAGTAAGGAATGTCATGTGTGTACTCCCAATATATGTTTTTCTATATTTTTATCAAGCATCAAAATTTCTTTATTTTATTTATTTTCCTGAATGAAAGTACAACAGCATCTAGAATTTTTCATATTTGCACAAGAGATATGTGGTAAAAAGAGTGTTATTAACAATTTTTTATATAAAAAAGAAAACGTTACAGACAAATCTGCCTCACTGGAAGAAGCCATGGTATATACAGATGACTAAGTCCAAGCTATATGCCCGGTAGGTTACATTGACATTAAGTTTATACGACTAGTATTTCTTTCAAAAACTAAGCTTGCTCCAGAAACTCTGACACTATCCTCAAAGAAGTAGCAAGGACATAAGAAATTACAGTTTCTAAGCATACATATCTTGTCATCTTTACTTCTTCAAGAACCACTACCCGCATGTCTCTCTCCCTCCAGATCAATGGTGCTGCCATCAATTCTACCCCACAGACTCACTGCCTTGTTACTTCAATCTCAAAACCATAGCTTGTACTGGCCCCAGTCTAACACCAGATGCAGCTATGGTCCAGATGCCGCTGGTCCATGCCATAATCATCTTCCATCTTGACTACTGCATTAAAAATAACAGAAAAACACTGATTTCATTAAAAGTGATTTTCTCACACAAATATAGGGCACTATGTCCAAATAAGTAGCCAAGTTTTGTTGTGTTTTAAATTGAGAATCTTTATTACTTACACTGGACTGTAGTCCTTATTCCCTAATCTTCTCATTGAGTCATTCCTGGAGTTTATTTGTTGCTCTGCATTTTGTTAATGTGTGTAGGAATCTCTTAAATTCTGGAGTGTCGCCAAGACCAGAAAAGGAAACAAATCCCTCCAATCAAATTGTTCTGTAAACTCTATATATTATAGTACTGGAGTTCAAAGCTATACTCTTTAATCTAGTATAATATCACATTTGTGAATATTTTAACACTCGTTGTAGACTGACATTTTTGTAAAATACCAATATTTTCCTGTATTACTACTGAAGGGCCCCAACATATTGTCATGAGGAATAACCCCAACATACAGATGCTAAGATAACTGTAACAGAGTGGACTGAAATAGATGTATTCCCTGTCCTTTGAGTGGCAGGGTTTAACGTTCAATAGAGAGGAAATGTAGTGCAATACAAGCCTAGGCAAACTCAGGGTCAGGATAAAAAGCCAAGCCAAGGTCAATTCCAGAAATATGATGTATATAATGTAACAAGGAACGCACTAAAGGGTACTGAGAACAGAAACTACGTTAGGGCACAGTAAATGGGGCCAGAGGAGTTTAAATACTATGTGTGATTTGATTGGTCAGCCAGAAATGACATTACGTCCCTTGGGATTCGTTCAGTTATTTAGGTTTCCAAACAGCTCGAGGACCGGGTAAGTATCATTACACATATTAAAGCACATCATCGTGTAACGTAAAGTTTCTCTGGAGTGCATTCTCAGGAATAAGTAACACATTTTCTATTATGCAGATACCTTCTACTGTAGGCAGCCATGAACAGCCCATACCAAATACACACGTTGATGTGAATAAGACTTTATTTTTATATTCTAATGAATCCATTTTGACTTACTTGGAGAAGAAATGGTGGAGCAGACCTCGGCGTATTGCGGACAGACATGGGATCCCTGCTTGTAGCACTCCTCCTCACTGGACGCTACGCAGCTGTAACACCGCAGCCCTTTACCTTTACAGAAAGAACATGGAAAAACAACTATTTTAACCATGCAGCATTTTCTTGGTCTGGAACCTGTGTGCCGGTCATATAATCATTTATCATCCAATCAGAGAACATCATATTAAGTCATTGGTTCATTTAGAATTGCTTCCTAAATACAATGATGCCACTTGTACCTGCTTTCATGCACATACAAACTACAGCTTGTTTTATGACATTGCTTTTTCCCCCCTAAGATTCTTTTATGTAGAGGATTATTCTAAAGAGATGTGGTTGCAAAAAGTAGGTACAGCATTGAAATGGACGCAGGAAGTATCCCTCAGTTGCAGTTTTAGAAAGACTTTTCTGTAATATCTCTGGCTGATAATCATTCGAGTTTCAACCCTCTGTGCATTAAAAGCAGATAACCCCTTTACACTAAACACCCTAACGCTATTTGCCCCACCTCACCCTGTACACCTCCTCTAATTATAACTCCTCAAACTAAACCACCTCTAATTGGGGTACACCACAGTACTGTATTTCCCAGGGATTAAGACATATGAGGGGATATTTGGTTTAGAATGACATTAAGATTTAGATACAATAAAAAAGTGAAGTGAAATATTGTTTTATGGAAGTCAGTTTATCAGCTTGACATTCAAGCTCTGGACCAACAAGATTAAAAGACATTAATTAACAATTTTATATATTTTTAAAATCAGTTTACTAGTTTATATTATTATTAACCTATGTATACCTTTTTCAATGTTCAATTACAGAAAGGTATTATGTGCATAGCTACCTTGTGTGATATATAGGATATATAACAGTAAAGTTGGCCTTGTGGGAAAGTTATTCAGTCATTCAGCCAAAGGGTGCCAACCAAAGACATCATAATAAACAAAGAGAACAGAGATCAAGTAGTAAATTTCTCCACAATCCCAAAATGGCATTATTTACCCAAAACACATGCATCAATGGTTGGTGGTTGTTGTTTTTTAGATGTTAGAGCTCTGGTTCCTTAAACCTTAGGGTAGACCCACCCAGAATTAGTGGAGTTGCAATTCTTGGTAGCTGCTGCTATTTCTGGCTGTGCTTAATTCAGCTAATCTCCCATTACTGACATAACAGAAGAGGCAACTCAACCCTTATCTCCTCAGCTCCTCTTCCAGCATACCACGTTTTGGAAATAGGCAGAAAATAGGGGCTTTTGCTAATTGTAGCTGATGCCTAGAGTTTAACCCCGTCAATTTTGGGGGTGCTTGGCCATGTATGTCGCAGAGCTATATTGAGGATGTCAAGATGCAATCATTTTTATTGGGTGAAAAATTGCACATATATCTATCTATCTATCTAATTATAATTGTATATACTAGATAGTGGCCTATAACCACAATATAGAATAATAATATAGTCCAAGAATATATAAAAAAAATAACTGTATTCTAATTCTTCATTCTAGGAGTTGCATTCCTTTACATTGTAAACTTATTTGGGCAGGGCCCTCTTCACCTACTATTCCTGTATGTCATATGTGTCGTTAGACCTAAATATTTGTCGTTTACCTCTTTTTTAGTGCTGTGGAATATGTTGGCGCTGTATAAATAATAGTCATTTCTCTCCTGGTCGCCATCAATACTCTGCTTGGATGTTAAATTGAATAAAATAAAAATCTTAATAAATGTCATACTATAGCGCCCTCTTGTGCACATATTACGAAAATAATACCAACTTGAACATTTTTGATCTTACATGTGCTAGAAATGTGAGAAATTAATTTCTTAAAGTTTTATTGAGTAACACTACTTCAGGAAGGAACAAAGGATATTTTCAGGTTCAGCTAAATGAAAAATGAAATGTGAATACAAAACCCACCATTGTAACATGTTATAAGATAATAGAAATTATTATTATTACCATCAACCAAATCACCAATTCAGATACACGCATCACCTGTCCTTCTTGTTTTATTGCTACTATTTCTGCAAGAAAGCTCCTTATTCCAACCACCCACACCTCATATAGCCTGACTTTCTCGAGTAACAGAAGGGAAGCAGATTAAACACCATCTAGACAAAGCTATGAACCTCCCAGAAAACATCTCCCACAAGTCTGAAATCACTGCATTACTCTGCCTCTCTGTATTTCCATGCAAAATATTCCCAGGGTTATTCACTTAAAGGAACACTATAAGGTCAGGAATACAAACGTGTATTCCTGACCCTATAGTGTTAAAAACACTATTTAGGTCCTCATGCCCACTTGAATAAGTTAAAAGCTCACCTATTTCCACCACTGCGCAGGGCTCCTCACACCTGGTCCCACCCCAATCTACCTCCTTGGCTAAGATCATCAGAATTGACAAAAGCATTAAAGGACCACTATAGGCACCCAGACCACTTCAGCTTAATAAAGTGGTCTGGGTGCCAGGTCCATCTAGGATTAACCCTGCCTGCTGTAAACATAGCAGTTTCAGAGAAACTGCTATGTTTACAAATGGGTTAATCCAGCCTCTAGTGGCTGTCTCATTGACAGCCGCTAGAGGCCCTTCTGCGTTTCTCACTGTGATTTTCACAGTGAGAAGACGCCAGTGTCCATAGGAAAGCATTGAGAATGCTTTCCTATGGACTGGCTGAATGCCGCGCATGCGCATTCAGCCGATGACGAGCGAAGGAGGGAAATCCCCAGCGCTGGAGAAAGGTAAGTGTTTAACACCCTTCCTCCCCCTCCAGCCCGGCGGGAATGGGACCCTGAGGGTGGGGGCACCCTCAGGGCTCTATAGTGCCAGGAAAACGAGTTTGTTTTCCTGGCACTATAGTGGTCCTTTAAATTGGCTGAGATCATTATTCTGATGATCTCAGCCAAGGAGGTGGGGCAGGGCGGAGCTAAACACCCTGCTGACCAATCAGCATCTCCTCATTGGCATGCATTTTATCAATGCATCTCTATGGAAAAGTTCAGTTTCTATATGCAGGGTGTGGAAATGCTGAATGTCAGTGCTGCACGTTGTAAAGCCCTGACCCAGGAAGCACAACTATTGGCCGTCTCAGCAAGAAGACAGTGTTTACATGAAAATGGCTGCAGGGACAGACTATACTGACCAGGACAACTACATTAAGCTGTAGTTGTTCTTATGACTATAGTGTCCCCTTAACTCTGAATTGTAGCAAATGAAAACCTAGTCAAGTTGAAGAATCTTTCCAGGTTAGCTATTTCTGACTACATTTTCCCATTTGGATTTCAATCTGCTACAATTAAGAGTTTAGTGACTCGCCCATATGTTTAACAGATGCGTAATGTAAGTGCAGTAAATATATTTTATGTTACTAATATGTTAATTGTTCAGACCTGATTAGAGAAATATATTTGTCCATTGCAAATATATAGAAATATATGAAGTATTAGAGCTTATATGGCATCCGCCGTTTCTTCCAGATTCCGGATAATCGTGTGTTTTCTAATTTAATATGAAAAAAAAAAAATAGTATCTTTGTAAGAAATAAGTTAGCATCACAAAAATGACAGCAGATTGTGATAGGTGGTTGTACAGTGGCTGTATTTGTTATGATTCCAAGAGTACCCAGACCCCATTTCTCAGTAATGGGACAAACCATTTTGCAATGGTTTGCCCTCTTACTGGGTCTCTCACAGGACCAAGAGATCTTATGTGGCCAATGAATGCAATTTTGTGCATAGGAATATGCACAGATAAACATTAGCCAGCACAGAACTCTAATTTTGGTAGACACCGATAGAGGTGGAGTTACACGTCCGGCAGCATAGGGGTTAAATTCCTTATGTGCAGTGTTTCAAAGCAACTCCAGGCACACTGACCGCTTAAAAATCACAGAAGGAAGTGTGTAAGAACTGATTTAGTGTTAAACTGCTTGAACATTATTTAACACTGAATGGAGAGACAGCACCAGGAGACTCCAGGCACTATAAACAAATTAGATTAATGGTTATTGTGCCTACAGTGTCCCTTTAGATTTCCCCTGTGCAATATTTTATGATGCCTTATATTCATTGTCATACATAGCATTCCTTGTAAGATTTCATTCCTCACTTGACATATCATTTTTCCAGTTTACAGGTTAACTCTTATCTCCTAGCCATACTAAATGCTTTGTAGGTCAATATTTGGCATGTTTTCTGCTTTCATTAGGAAGATGGAGTTAAATCAGAGTACAGGCTAGTGACAGTCATGCACCCATGTTAATCTAAATTCAGCCTGCTAAAATGGTCCTAACAGGGGTATGTTCTGTTCTGGTACACCCTAGCCTATCCCATGGGAAATACACAGACCTGCTGTATCCCTCATGGTTCACAGATCAATAACAACTCAAATAAGGTAGAGTCCATGTTATCTTCTGAAATTCCATTATTCCTATAGAGCAGAACAGTATTTTAGCACAACTTTAGTCCCGATAAAGACGAATACAAATTAAATAAGTGCCACAAATTTATTTATGTAGCAAGAGAAATATGAGAAGTACGATGGGCAAATTGGTCAAATAATTCTTTGACGGTGAACATTAAATGATGTACTGGTCTACATGGGACAAATGGACTTTCTAGCACTCTCAGTGGCCTGAAATTGTTTATTGCCCCATGGCCATACTAATGAAACCTTTGAAATCCTTTCACGTTGGAAAATATCTTACTTTTCCTATGCTAGCAGTCTACCTGTCTAATAATCCAATGCCATGAACACATTTTTTTACCTATGAAAACACTAAGCCACAAATATTAAGTGTCTTTAAGTGTTTTTTTCATTGTGTGCAAATGTACTACAATATACTTATAAACATACTTTTCTTACGGCAGATGCTTTCACCGCCCTATTATCAAACAAAGCTTATAAAGTCTGTGATGGGTACTGTAGACTGTAATTGAGAAAATTAGACAAGTGAGGGATGGAAGTTTTTAAAATTAGAAATTATAATCCTAAAGTAATTATTTGGATTTGAATATTCTTGTAAAGCCTGTTAAAAACTCATAAAAACAAAGTCATAACCTTAGACTGGGCAATAAGCACAGAAACTGGGAAACCTGATTTATTTTACTGTTATTTAACAAGCTTTCTAATCAAACACAATTTTAATTACAGGTTACGCATTTTCTGTTTCTGCAGTGGGCATATTATGCACCAAAATGCCTACGCAAATCTGTGTGAGACACAGATCAATAAATGGACATACAGATCAGAGGAAATCTCTTTTAAAAAAATGGGATACATTTCACTCAATCCATCTTGTGAAAAGAAATGGGCAATTGAAATGAGAAATTTCAACATTATTCGAGCCCCAGCAGGGGAGAGCTCATTCTTTTGTCTAACTACTATAAAACATGTTGATAACAAATGGGAGGCAGCACTGCAGTAAATGTAGTACCATAACTACTGCAATGGCAATAGTGCGGAGTGCCTGTTTAAATAAAAAGAAAGACACCTTGAAACCCATATATATGTAATAATGATTCCAAAAAAAATTTCAGTCAGTAGTTGCCCTCTATGCCTCCTTAATAGCATTCCATAGGGAAAATTAACACAGATACTGAATTTACAGGGGCTTCAGTAACAGGCGCTTCCAACACAAATCCTACTTTGAGATGAATCGGTAATACGGTACTTACTTCCCAGGGGTAGCATGAGAAGGAAAGTGATCAGGAGCAGGGCCTTCATGATGAGTCTTGTGGATGCTGCAGGCTGTGTTGTGGAAGGAACTGGTCACTAAACTCTATGTGCTAACTCTGTTATAGGATTAGACATCTGACAATGACATGATTATGGCAAGAGATGAACTTAATGCTGCTCTATGAACACTGAGCCAAGGGCAGAGCGCAGCCACCTGTGTCATTCTGTAGTCTAATACACTAATGGATACATTTTACAGTTCATGGAGACCTTTATATTAGTAGTAGCAAAGATTGCATCACTACACTTGCCATAAAAATAGTTTTAATGTAACAGTTTATAAAACAGTATAAAATATTTCTCTATCACTATCACAAATACACATCTGCATCATAATCTATAAAGACTAAATATGAGAGTTCTACTTATCATATATTTATACACACACACATACATACTAATCAATACATGATTCTTGTTAAGAATGTTTCAACATGGAGAGGTTATGATTAGGACATACAATATAAGGAATAGATGATTTAAATAGTACTGATGATGTGTAGTTATATGGGAATGTACTTACTATGAACTGGTTCCATTGTTTCTGGGTTTTTAGCAAATATGTAATAGTTTGATTCGATTATTATTTTTAATTAATGGTTTTATACTGAAGATGATTTACAATATTGAAGAGCTTCATGAAATATGGATATCATGTTGGATTCTGAGGGAAGTTTATGTTTTTGCTTTGGAGAAGACATTTTAGAAGCTATATGATTAAGCACAAATGGGTGTGTTACATAGTGTTAAGTGATGCACGGCTGTATGCAGCGGTAATGCAATACATTTAAATTCTTTTCATTCTCTAGATACTCCTGTACCCTACTGTAAGGGTTATTAACTCTGGAAAATTGCTCTGCCCCTCTACTTCCTCAGTCCAGATGCCGCTGATAATTGAAAGCATCAGCTGATACTGAGTCTATCACTAGCACATTGAGAAAATTGAGTTTAAAAATGTACACTCTCATTGTAATGAAGTAGCCATGGTGCCTAGAGTGTCCCCTTAAGGGTTATTTAAAGGAATATGTATAAAGTCATGGTGGGGGCTGCGTATAAATGATAACCTGGGGTGATGTAGGTATGATGAGGGTGATCAGTTGGTATAATTTAGTGCCCTGTGGCAGGGTAGCGTTTGGAAATTTGGTTGCATGCTATCAACCCCTTTAACTCTTACACTCTCCCCATTGTCACGGCAATGACAAGTCTGTGGTCTGTGGTTCCAATAAAGTGCCTGTATTGAACCAAGGAGTGCCTGGATCCCCTTTATTTTATTTCATTGATCCTGGGAATCTGGTGTTTGGTTCTGGTCACAGAAAGTACCCAGGCTCTGATTGATGGGAGTGAGTGCAGTTCCATACTTTTTTCAAAGGCAATGACAAGTCAACCTCTCTGCGAAACGGACCATTGTACAACATCAACTATGATATCTGACACGCTGAAAGGAAATGAGAAGGAAGATGCCTGTAGGAGAAGAATCCTAGTGAATGTTTTGCCATGTTTACTATACATATATCTGTTAATATTTAAATTATATAAATAAGAAAAACAAGACAGGATCAAATGGATTTTAAACACAGTTTATACATACACAATCAAACAAGGAAAAAAATATATATGTATTCATATATTAGTCACATTTAATCTTGTTTGTGTCAGAACTGTCAAGTATTTACCTGAACATATAAAAAACATTTGCTGTATATAAAATATACTGCCGTTAAATATTTACGAAGCCTTTTTTTTATTTTTATTACTTGCCATCACGCTATGATTGTGATTCCCATAATGCAAACGTTATTTGGCTTCCATGTATGTATGGAAAAATATATACTTTAACATAGATTTTATTTCGCAAACAGGGATAGCAGCTCAAAATTTATAAATCTCTCAGGGCAACAATGCTTTTAAATAAGGCCATTACAAAACTATTCATTATTAATCTTTTTGGGTCCTCAAGCCTAAAAAATGACCATAATATAATGATAAACAAAATAAAATGTGGTTACAGAGACCACGATTATTACCTTAGCTCTACACAGGCAAAGTTGACCATTTTCAAAATGGTGGCACTTAAGTTAATATTTATGGTATGGACAGTGTGAAGGGCACTTTTTGTGGGCTTAAGAAAATAAGAATATCTACAATATTTAATGAGAAAAAAATATTTGCTAAGAGAATATGATACCGTTTAAAGCGGGGGTCTATAAAGAAACGTATCTCATCTATATTTTTGTGTGCGTTTGATTGTTGCAAAATGTCACGGCCACTTGAAAAACAACTACATTTGGTTAAATATAGCTTTAACTCTAAAGGCCTCGTCTTCTATGTACCAATATTTTGTCAGACCTGTCAAAAGTAATCTGCAAGCCCCTTGATGTAAACAAAAAGCAGCTAAATAAAAAATAGAAGGGGTGGCTAGCTATTTAACTAAGGAACTGCAACTGGACAAGCCAATATTGTGTACAGTAAAGAGATCATAGTCAAAAATGTATTTCATTTCATCCTCTTACAGTATACGTTGCCTCTATGTGCACTTCCACCCCGTGAGGACAAACCTGTTGCACTCTGCAGCACTGAATATCATATCTGCATTGTTCAAACCCAATAAAAAAGAGGGAGTTCTAATCTCCTGGCAACAATTAGACAGTTGTCTGGCTGCTATGACGGATGTTAATCCTGCATTACTCACTGAAACCTCTTAATGCAGAAGAGTGGGAACTATTAAATCTCTAATCCCCGGTTTCTATAAGCACTTGGTGATATAATACTCTTTTGCTGTACAATGTATGTTTTGTATCAGAATGCGTTCAATAGTTTATTTGTGGTATGTCCTCATTGTGAAGCAAGCATACTCTATCTGAAATCCTGTAAGGCCCACTAATTGCAGCTAAAAAGGCTTAAGACTGGGATCATGCTCAAATGGGACGGGCAATCTACTGACATTACCAAATACAGTTGAAACACAAATAGGGGTAACATTGCAGGAACAGATGGCATCAATATTACCCATATAATACTCAACAACCCTATTCATTTACAGTAACCACGAGCATAAAAGCCCCTTTTAACCACACAAACAGGAGGGTCTTTGTGAACATACTTAGGAGGTGATTCATTCTCTCAGAGAACAGTCACTGGAAATCCCATCCTTTATCATCATAGAACAAAAAAGCTTCTCATCAGTGTCTTTGCCAGAGTATCACACATCACATACAACATAACCATAAAAATACTATTTCATGTGTAGAAAGAGATGCCTTTTGTATCATTAAAAAAAGATTCAAGGATCAGATACGTGTGTAAATAAACATTTGCCTCTTCAAGTTCAAAGGAGTGGACCAATCAATTTCAGACAAGCAAAGAAGCAGAAGGTTAATTCATTAATTCTGGGAGCGTGGGGGTCCATCAGTCATTCCTTCCCATCTTAGCAATCAGTTCATCACAAATTTTTGTTAGCTCTTCGATCTCCTGGTTCTGGAAACAGAAAACAATAGCAAAGCTCAGCTGTACTGTGATGTAACAGCAATCAAGTATTTTCTGCAGGGCACAGGGGCCTCTGCACAAATCTAAAAAACATTTGGCCCGATGCTGGATTAGTATACAGTTAGTTATTCCCATTGCAATAAAACCCTTTTAGATAAAAAGAGGGATTCATTCACATATTACAATATAAAGTTTAAGCCATCACAGTGCTCAATCTTGACGGATCCCAATTTAATTTTAAACATGTGAGATATATTTCCACGTGTATTACAGTTTGTAAATAATCAATGTAAAATCAGTGTGGTTGGAGAGTTATATAAATATAACCTAAAAAATAGGAATTACCATACGTAAGAGTAACAGAAAACCTGTGCTATGAAGCAGGAAGTGCCCTCTAGTGACTGTCTAGTTGACAGCCACTAGAGGAGGAGTTAACCCTGCAAGGTAATTATTGCAGTTTATAAAAAGGGTTAAGGGTAGTGGGAGTTGGCACCCATACCACTCCAATGGGCAGAAGTGGTCTGGGTGCCTACAGTGTCCCTTTAATCATCTCCGAGCAATGGCTGAAATAGCCTCTCTGTGACAAACCACCTAGTCACCATCCGCCTCCAGGTTGATTTTCTCTATGTTTTCCCCAAGAGACTATTCTCACTGCCCCTAGCTCCCATCACCTTTCCACCAGATCAGGAGCACCCCTTCCTTTGGCTGTACCAGGAGACCAGAAATCCCCCACTTCCCAAACAGCTAGAAGAGCACTTTTTGGAGGTAAGGAACCCTGAACTATATGGAACAATTGCTCCCTGAGAGCCAGGGGAAGCGTCCCCCATTTCGTCCACTGGAGTGCCCAACATTTGGCCAGCCAAAGTCCCATATATCCTGGACCTTTTTTGGGCATGGACTCTGTTAGCAGCCAGTCAAAACGTTACCCCGGTGGCAGTTTGTTAATTCTTCATGAATCCGCTATCTTGTTAACATGGGTGCTTGGATCAGAGCTATCCGGGGATATGTGTTGGGGTTTCTGTTGATCTTGGTATGTTTTTAGGGTGATTTTTTGTTGTGCCCTGGGAGATAATTAGTTTAGCAAGCAGCAACTCAATTATCTCAGAGACACAGAGGCACCAGGGCAGCATTATTTGCTATTGAATAGGGACCCCATGTATAAATTACAGTGCAGTGCCTAATAAAATCTACTGCCAACATTACTCCCAACACTACGGGAAAAGGAACTCTTGGCGTTGATACAGCGACGAACTGCCACACTCTCTCTGACAGACAACCACTAGAAGCGCTTCCTCCTTCAGACCTTTTATTTTCAAAGGCCATTGCATTTGGTGTCATCACACACAAAACGATGTTGCTAAACAAGCAGTATCTCTATGACCAGAGATCTTCATGCATGATATAAATCTTGGACTAATCAGACTGCTAACCAGAGAGAGACCTTGCGAATACAGGTAAGGTTTTTTTTTTGTAATATTGGGAGATGCCATCCAATGGTTTCTGCACATAAATCTCATACACACCTTTTGTTGAAGCGCTCTTTCCAGCGAATCCACTTTCATTTGCTCCTTTCTCAGCGAGGCTGTGAGAGCTGCACTTTCTGCTTTTGCCTTGGTCCGAACTTGGGCAATCTCTTCATTGGCTCTTTAAGAAATAAAGAGACACAAGACAAAAATGTAATTGATTTGCAGTTTATTATCAAGAGATAGCCTAATACACAAACTTTCCAAAACACAAACAAGATATGTGATCCCGATTACTCAGTTAAAATATAGCCTCCAAATTCAAATAAATGATTTCAGAAAATCAAAAAACACCATAGACCAAAAAGACCATGCAAACTATTAAGCAAAGACTACTTGCTTACAAAATACCACAGGAACTCCCCAGGGCTGGCTTGAACACATGGTTGTGAAGAGAAGCACAAGTGCACAAGCACTGCAAACAGCAATGGCATCCCATGGTTGGGACAAAATAGATAGATAACCCAGATTATATGGCCCAGTTACCACAGTTACAATTCCTACAGTGAACTAAGCCAGTACTAGCATGGCCAAAAGCAGCCATGAACATTTCTCTGAGCTTCCTCTCCCAGACAAAAGCTAATATGAATGTTAAATTCCTAGTCAATTCTTCAGTGGTCAGATTAGATTGTGCCAAGACAAAATACACCACCCATGCAAAGAGTCAAGGATGGGTTCAGTTTGCTACTTATCTCTGTATATACATTTAATATTAAAGGGATATTCTCAGCAACAAAAAAATGCTTGTTTTATGTATATAGATCATGTCCTTGCAGTCTCACTGTACAATTATCTGCCAGTTAGGAGTTAAATACAATTTTTTTATGTCTATGCAGCCATAGTCACACCTCCCCTGGCTTTCATTCACACAGCAAACAGGAAAATAAATTGTTTAATTTTTCAATCAGTACAGTGTGTTTACTTTAGACGCTTTGTTAGTTGAACTTTGATCACACACAGAAGGCTCCTACAGGCTAGAAATCACTGATAAATAGCAACTCTGGTGTTAGTAGTGGAGTAGTACTAGTCAGTAGGAATATTACAGGTGTACTCATTAAAGTGAGAATTCAAATAAAACTTCACACTTAAGGCCAAAATAGCTGAATTGGAAGCGTAGCTGACTGAAATAATTTTTTAATGAGGCTATTTTGGCCTTTATTAATTTTTCACATTAGTGAATTATCCAGTTAGGCTGGTTTCAATGGAGACTATTATATTGTTGTGCAGATTTACTTTTATGTACAGCCAAGTATGATGTGTTTATTTCATAATATTGTCACACACACCTAACACCTCACTTGTCTTTAGCTGTTTATTTTATAATATTGTCACACACACCTCACTTTTTTATCTCAATTATAAAATGGCACCGGGTGCACACAATAGCTTTTATTTTAAGTAATTTATTCAGATTTAATTTGCATTTTCTCCATGTGTTTTTTTAATTATAA